TTTAGGATTTAAACACACCTCTCATTTGCCTTCTCATCTGTTTAAGGCATTTGTATCTTCTCTCTTTAGTATTATTTCACTTGTATTTTTGGAGTAAAATAAAATATTGGTTGTGTCCGAGGAGTAGGTAAAATTAGCCGAACCTCGTAAATTCTGGTGTTCCCTTTATTGTTGTTTTATTGTCTTATTTATTATTTGGTGGCTGTCATAATTTTTGGTATAATAGTTGTGACTTATTCACACTATATACATTTGGCTTCCGCAACACAAGAAGCTGTTCCTGTTGAGCTCTTTGATAGTTCCAAGCAGCTAGCTAGTAAGAGAGGCAATATATGGTCCACACAAATTTATGACCGTAAATAAGAATAATGAGGCTAGTACTCGTCTCGCTGGTGTGAATATGAATAATTGTTGACATATTCAGTGACAAATTGGTAGCACAACTGATCAGCATGCATGGTTGACCAAGCTGTGTATTCTTCAGTGCTGCCTTGATTTCTTTAATTTTGTCGCATCTGTCCTCGTTGCAAGAAGATATATATAGTTGTAGTTGCAGTTACAAAATGTTGCAGCATTTTAATTGGAGCTCATTCGCCCAATGTTAGATCTAATTGGGAAGCACGCAAAAACAAAAACAAATACGCGAAAACCTATGATAAATGTACAAAATTATTAAGAGCAAAAATAAGAAACGGTAGTCATATTGTGCATCGATCGATCTCATATGGAGAAATTAGCAGAAGTGATTCTGGTCCCATCTCCGCCAATGGGCCATGTTGCTCAGATGGTGGAGTTAGCAAAACTCTTAGTCCACAGAAACCATCAGCTCTCAATCACCCTCCTCGTTATGAAACTCCCCGATTGTTAAAAAATTAATATTTTTAATATCTCAAAAAGGATGAATATTTTAATATTTTAATATCTCAATGCTTATGAACATTGAATGGGTATTGAAATTAGTTACATTTTTTGTAATCTTGAAATTGACCAAAAGGTTTGTCCGTTTGCTAATATTAAGTGTGATAGTGATTTCCTTCAACTTTTGAAAAGAGTAATTATAACAATTTCCTAATTTCTTTAATTCTTTGCCCATTCACAGTGATACGTTTTCAAATTCTTAGGCATCAGTTTTCTTATTGAATTTATGGCATTTAATTCTTTGCCTTATGTTTTCAAATTCTCGGGCATCAGTTTTCTTATTGAATTAATGGCATTGAATTCTTAATGATTCTCAACTTTCAGATTTATATCTTTGGTTTATATATAAACCTATCAACTTGTGTTCATGTAGTAGAGTGAAAAAAGCTAAAAATCTTTTTTTTTTGTGTTGGGTTTTCTTCTCGTAAAACTTTGTTGTTTCTGCTCCTAATTATACTAGAAGAGCTTGTTGAATCCTGGGGGATATGCCTAATATTATGTATCACGGTATGGGCGAAATATCCTTAAGGACAGTGTCCTTGACACGCCTCAAGCTAAACCTTTTATTCTCCATAATCATTTCCAACAATCTTAAGGATATTTTCACGTTGTTATTATGGAGAATAACGCTACTAATGTTGTTGTTGTTGCTACTACACCCGCTGCACCTACTGTTTCTGTTGCTGTTCCATCGCTAACATGTGCCAAATCTTTTTCCGATGTTTTGAAAGTTGCGGTTTTTGGTGGAGATAATTTTAACCGCAAGCACGCTGTTGTTGACAAAGGAAAAGAAATTGCAACTAGAAGCAGCCTTGTGGAGGAAAACAACCGTCAGAGAAAATCAAGTAACATGTATGACGAAAGAAATGGTTATAAGCCCAAAACCAACAATCAAACCTTCAAGGAAAAAAGCAACTGCTTTGTGTGTGGCAAATCTGGCCACTATGTTGCTCAATGTCGAAAAAAGGTTGGGAATGACAATCCCACTAAGGCTAAAGTAAATTTGACTGAAGCCAAAGTGGATGATATAATTGTTGTGGTTGTTTCCCTGGTGAACCTTGTGGCCAATGTGAAAGATTGAGTGTTAGATTCTGGTGCCACTAGGCACATATGTGCTAACAAAAACGACTTTGTGTCTTACACCCAAGTTGAGGAAGGAGAAGAAGTTGTATATCTTGGTGACTCAAGAACTACTCAAGTTCTTGAAAAAGGCAAAGTTCTTCTCAAACTCACATCTGACAAAACTTTGGCATTAAATGACGTGTTGCATGTTCCTAGTATCCGAGCCAATTTGGTCTCTGTGGGATTATAAGGAAAAGTGGGGGTGAAGGTTTCTTTTGAATCTGATAAGGTCGTGTTGACCAAGAATAATAATTTTGTTGGCAAGGGTTATTATAACCATGGCTTGTTTGTACTCAATGTTATCAATGAAAATGCTAGCACTTCTGCTTACTTGATTGATTCTTTTAATTTATGGCATGCTAGATTAGGACATGTTAGTTTATCTTATATTAAGAAAATGCATTCTGAAGGTCTTATTTCAAATATTAATTTTTCGAAAATTGATAAGTGTGAAGTTTGTGCAGAAGCTAAACAAACTAAGAAATCATGTGCTTCAGTATTTAGAGAATCTGAATTATTAAGTT